CCTCCCCAGCTCCCTCCCACTTGAGTGACGTGGTTATCAGACTCCCCTAGAACTGGGGTCCCCAATCCCGGGGCCGTGGACCAGTACCTGTCGGCAGCCTGTTAGGAAGCGGGCCGCACAGCAGGAGGTGAGCGGCGGGCGATGGAATCTTCATCTGCCGCTCCCCATCGCTGGCATTACCGCCCGAACCACTCCCACCACTGCCCCTCGCCCCCCGTCCGTGGAAGAACTGTCTTCCACGAAACTGGTCCCTGGTGCCAAATAGGCTGAGGACCGCTGCCCTAGAAGAACCCCGTTTCTCTGTGCCTGGCAGCACCACCCCTCATGGCCCCTGGACCGTCCACATCTTCCAGCCTCTCTCAGCCTCCAGGTCCCCAGCCGGTGAGATGCCTGCACCAGTGCACACCTGGGACCAGAGGGCTGCATTCACCGGTGTCCCTGGCCAGACGACCAGCCTGGATGAACAGATGAAGAGTGAGGACCCTGAACAGGGGCGATGCCGTGGAGCGCAGCCACCCAAGCCTTCCTACCAGGACCACCCGGCAGCCCCTGCAGCACACCCTTCACCCTGGATGTCCAGTTAACCCAGCGGACCCCATGGGAGCCCGAGGGGGCCACAGTGCTGTTGGATCATGAGGGAAGGGGCAGGGCTCCCCGACAGCCCCACACCCAGGAGCCCTGAACAAGAGGTGCCGATAGAGCCTTGAGAGACTTGGGGGAGGAAAGAACTTTCTGGAGAGGAGCAAGAGGCAGGAGAAGCAACCGCTACATGCAGTGACTTGGTAAGATCAGGGTGCGGAAAAGTTCATGAGCTGTGAGAGACCCGATGAGGACGGGACTCCCACCCAGGGGCCGTGATGGTCCCCATAGAGAGGGGCGAGCGTGTGAATGGCATGGCCTCCCCTACCTAGTCTTGGACATGAGAGTTTGGAGGAAACCCCGAACCCAGCTGACCCCACAGAACTAGTGGGGACACTATGTGCTTAGCCCACCATGTAACTGATGCTCCGGGAGATCACAGCTGAGCCTCAGTTTCCCCATCCATCCTGACACACAGGAGCGGTGCAGAGAGAAAAGGCCTGCAGGTCTTGGAAGAAGATGGGCTGAGGCCAGGCCAGAGGGGCCAGTGAACACCCCCAGGGCCCGAGGACCCCACATCCCTGCCCTGGGGCTGGTGAGCCCAGGGAACATCATTCCTGGAAACTCCTGGTTCTCCGTCTAGCCCTCGGGGCCGAGCACCTACCTGAAGGCCTGGCCTGCCAACATCTCTTGCCCCTCCCCCTCCCCCCAAGCCCACCGGGCCTGCATCCCCCCTGGCCTGACCTCCCCAGCCCCCAGCAGTTACAGCTGGCCTCCACTCCCCCTCCAGATGAAAAGTGCAGTCCCAGTCTCGTGGCTGCTGTGTGAAGGGTTCTCTTAGAAGCTGAGGAAATGGGTTAATGGTGGTGGCCTGCCAGGGAAGTGACCTGGTTCCCCACCACTGACCACCGTGCTTTCCATAAGTCTTGAAGGCATGGGAGTGCTCTGAGTAAAATGTGACTGTACCACGCCTGCAGCACAGCCCCAATGACACGAGATTGCCTGGGGGGAACAGTCTGTGTATATATGGTGGGATGTGATAGATACACATGTGCTTACATAGGAAAAAGCCAGATGAAGGTGAACGAAGACATTAACAAGGTAGCTCCAGGACACACATCACGTGTGATTTTCTTTTTCTTCTTTATGCTTTTCTGAATTGTGCAAGTTTTCTGCAATGTGTATCAATTATTTTTCTAATTTAAAAACTTTGAAATTATCTTCTAAATAACCTCAGTTGAAATCTGTAGAAAACTTTCTAGGTAAGAGGCACCTTCACTAATTTACCACCTCACGTAACCCTCATGCCTACCCATTATGAAAGATGCTGTCGTTGCCTCCGTTTCATAGGTGGGAGAACTGAGGGGCACATGAAGGGAAACGACCTGTCTGAAGTCACACAGCAAATGAGACCAGAGCCCGATTCCCAAGGACAGACTCCTTCCACGATGGGTTTACCCAGGGGCCTTAAATCTTGAGCCTTCAAATCTTAGGCAAGACTTCAGCGTTAGCCAATGCCCTTGTGTTGATCAAAAAATACATTCTGAGATGTAATCTGCTAACAGCCCTCACTGCCCCAAAAGTCTCAACCTAAATCACAGAGATCAGAGAATGTCAAGGACAGTAATGTCCACTAATGTGCTATGCCCCAGGCATTGCTATGCCCCAGGTGCCAAATGCTTTTGCAACACCTGGGTTCCCTAGGCAACATCCTCACCCCATACACAGGTGAGAAACAGTAAATAGTTCAAGGTCACAGAACTAGCAGAGCCAGGGCTGGACCCACCCAGGCATGGATTCAAACCCTCCCTCTTAACCACTTCATGGGAAGGGCATTCATGTCACACTCTGTGTTTGGACTTCACCCCCCAGGTTGTATAGGAAGAATTTCAGATGGCAGGGGTGGCTGGGGGGAGGGGCGGTAAGCGATAGGATCATGCTAATGTGCGAAAGCTCAGCTGGCCAGAAAGACCAGCATGGGGGATTCCCTGGTGGCGCAGCGGTTAAGAATCCGGCTGCCAATGCAGGGGACACAGGTTCGGGAAGATCGCACATACCGCGGAGCAACTAAGCCCATGCGCCACAACTACTGAGCCTGCGCTCTACAGCCTGCGAGCCACAACTACTGAGCCCACATGCCACAACTACTGAAGCCCGTGCGCCTAGAGCCCGTGCTCCGCAACAAGAGAAGCCACCACAATGAGAAGCCCGCGCACTGCAATGAAGAGTAGCCCCCACTCGCCACAACTAGAGAAAGCCTATGCGCAGCAACGAAGACTCAATGCAGCCAAAAGTAAATAAATAAATAAATTTTTTTTTTTTTTAAAGTAAATCTGAAAATAAAAGGAAAAAAAGTGAAGAGAAAGCAGCTTGTAAGTTTTGTGCAGTATGAAATACATGTGCCCATCCCAACCAGGGATGTAAAGTACGATTTTGGTGATTCCACATAAGAGTCAAATGCTCTCGTGTTTGCATTTTAACTGGCATTGCACAATATAGAGAGGAATGGAGGGCTTCCCTGGTGGCGCAGTGGTTGAGAGTCCGCCTGCCAATGCAGGGGACACGGGTTCGTGCCCCGGTCCAGGAAGATCCCACATGCTGCGGAGCGGCTGGGCCTGTGAGCCATGGCCGCTGAGCCTACGCATCCGGAGCCTGTGCTCCACAACAGGAGAGGCCGCAACAGTGAGAGGCCCGCGTACCGCAAA